TAGCTATGCATAGAATATAGCTGACAGATGCAATCTAAGTGAAGATCGATGTCAGACAAGACTGCTTACTCTCGCCCTTTTTCTTTCTTCTGGTGGTCGACTGGATTATGAAGACATTCACATCTGAGAGGGAGCACGGAATATAATAAACAGCTTGGATGTTGCTAGAGGATTTGGATTTCTCAGATGACCTAGCTCTTCAATCCTAAACACAGAAACAAAGGTAGGTGGAGACAGCCAGTATAGCAACAGCCTCTGAAGCAGTAGTTCACAACATTTACGAGGGAGAATGCGAGATAGTGAAATATAAAACAGTGCGAACCAACCCAATCACATTTTGTGGGTAAGTTCTGGGAGAGATGTAACCTTTCAGGTACTCGGGCAAGAGGATCTGATGCTGATGTGAGGGCACAGATTGTCAAAGCAAGGGCAGCATTCCCACAACTGAAGAACATATGGAATTCAAAACAACTCTCAGCCAACATCATAGTCAGAATCCTCAATACTAACGTCAAGATAGTTCTACTGTACGGAGCTGAAACTTGGAGAATTACTGAAACTATCATCATAAAGGTACATGTATTTCTAAACAATTGTCTACGCAGGATACTCAATGTCCATTCGACGGATACTGTCAGTAACAACCTACGGTGGGAGAGAACAAGCCAACTTTTAGCTGAAGAGGAAATTGGGAAAAGACTCTGGAGATGATAGTACATACATTGTGAAAATGTCAAACTGCATCAAAAGAATGAATGACTGGAAAGGATTGCCCAGGAGGGAGTTGGATAGAGAATCTTAGTGAGCGGCTTGTGCTCCTCTATGAATGGTAGCATGCGTATATGAATTCAGTTGGATTTTTCGAAATTTTGCATAAAAGCTGGGAAACAAAAATTTTGAGAAGATACAGGAGAGGAAGAAGCTAACAGTTGATTACTATACGAGAATGCAATGCTCCGCAAGTTCCAAAAATGACTGAATGTGAGCGAAACTACTGAATAATAGCAAGTAGCATAACTAATCTCAAGTATCGAGATTCTGAGCAGCAGGGTACAAAATAGATTCGACTTTTCTGACTTCACTGTCTAGATTATAGTCGGATAACCATTATAAACCCGAAAGCACTGGACAGCTGTGTTTTCCTAGTGTGAGGATCCAAAGCATTAAAGACTCTAAACCCTAACGGAAACAAACCCAAGAACTTCGGAAGAAGCATTGATTACCTGTATCGTCCTAGTTCTTTAGAATTATTCAAAAATGTACACCATAACATTCCAGGAAATATGACCACAGACTCTTGGCTGTTACACTTGAGCTACTTCGTTTTCAACGTTATTTGATGCCAGTGACTGGTCTCGATTATCTTCGAATCGATATCGGTGTTAATATGTTGTGACCAGTCAATACTGTCTTGATATTATGAATCAAGTTATCGGTAAAAAAGAATAAATTTTCTTGTTAAGTTACTTCACCCCATGAGATTGAACTGTAAGATAGGAAAGCTATAGTACTGATCTAGTCACAGTATCGATTAAGTCACCAAGGCTGTTTATCTACTAGCAATGACACGTTACATGTGAGATAACAGTAGCGCTAATTGACTATCAGCCAGAATAGGGTCCTACGCTCTCCCGTTTATTCACCCGATATTCAGGATAGAGGTCAATTCAGCAAAAAGATAACTTCTAACTATCCAGTATGAATTTATGAATCACTCATATTGATATATAGCACAATCCTAACAACACATCAACGGAACTAAGGAATTAAAACATGGGCATAACTACGACAAAAATGGAACAGGACTGGATGATAGACGTGTAGCAATAATTCGGTAAAGGTAGAACACACAACTATTTCTATGTTAAACAAAAACTTGCAAGTAGGAGGATACTAGACTATAATCGTTTAAATATATAATAATTATTTGACAAAAATATAGACAATAATTTCGGATAGGATCGTCCGAAAAGTTCGCTTTTTCTGTATGCCTATTTTGACACAGCAGTAACATCTTAGTGGACCCCAACCTAAGTATTAATCATGTAGACTTTCTCTTTAATACCTTGTACTCGTTACTCTTCTTTTCTAAAGGTTCTTTATCACTAATTACGTGTTTACAACCTGTTTACTTTGTGTGTTACCGGTAGTGTAAGAGTTTACTAATAATACTCATCAGTAGAAATTTGTTATCACCTTTTGACTCGATTCTTGATAATATTGATGACGACAAGTGAAATACTGACCCTATCAACTTGGTGTACATAGTACTTCGGCTGGCCTCATTTATAAAATGGTGGTACTTAAAACCCAGACACGGAATGTGTCTGTAAAATCATACTTCAATACGTTTTATATCACTGTTTACATAGAACTACACATTTATCATGATATATAGAAATATAGATATGCATGCAGAAAATGTACATAGATGAAAGGTGATAATCAATCATATATGGATGTATACAGAATAACCAATGTTATTATAGTGACCCATGCAACAGTCATATACATATTGAATTTTATGTTTGTTCACAAAAGGGCTTGTATAAATCTGAGATGCCACTCGTGGTAGGATCGCAAATTTCATTAGGTTTTTATTATGTTCCAAATGTACAAGTGGTCTCTACAGATTATGCAGTCCATGTATTTCTGATTCGACAACCCATTGAATACCTCTTTTTCTTGACGAACCCTTCAAAATTAATTGTTTTAACCTGCAAAGAATAGCCTGATAATCCCACAGTTGCATACTTAACTGAATGACTAAGTTCCTTGATGAATATCGGGATGTTTTATTGCAAAGCAGTTCTAATCTATCGAGTCAACGAAGTAGGAAGCATGGCATTCATTTAGTGATGCCGATATTTCATGAGAATATAACATACACGAGTTTGAAAGTCGAATGAAGTGAGGAATGTGAAATAATGTGTCCCGGTTTAACTAGGTCAATAACATCGTGTTCGATGTTTGTTATTATGCCAGTATCTTTCATGTCCTACTTCAGTTTGTCGTATGTTAATTCATTTACTAAGAGATATAAATTCAACTGCTATTAATCATGCTCACCTACACATACTAACAGAACACTTTAGTCGTACTTCCATATATAGAATACATAACATTTATATAAGTTATTTTGTTATTACTAAATAAAAAGAGTATAACACATTGATCTCATTTACTTTTCTTTGTTTTAAAAGAACTGCACATTTGTAAAACTTACTTTGTTCGTCGGGTTTTCTATTAAAAACATATCCATTGATTAGTACATCACACTGGGTATAAACATTATACGAAGTTATTTGACGTTACCATTATTATAAACACAAGTGCAGAACTTCCTACCGATTGCTTTCAACCACCAATTTTCATCAAAACGTGTAATCCTTACTAGATCTAGCCATAATTAGACTAGCAATCATTTCACAACTACACCGAGAGAGTTCTATGAAAGCTAAGAAACTAGAGCAAGCATTTTAGTCTTACAAGTGATTGATAATAGGTTAAATACCTTGGTGCTACTTATATTGACATAAGTAGTATATAATGTTAATCGTAAACAGGTCTGGAAGCAGAGAGGCAAGATAATCGAACGGCAAAGAATGGAAACAAAATGCAATTTGTATGAAAGTGCAATAACAATGAAGTCTGAGTCATTTTGAGACAATCGATGGACATTTTGCAAATTGAGCATTTACTTTATGATTGTTAGATTTTATTAGCAAGTCCTGTAATTTTGTGTTAAATACATTCGGTTGTCCCTACCCGTGTTCTGTTCACTGCAGTGGTATCTCTGGTTATAGCACACTAGTTTAAATGGTTTCGAATCTCACAGGGAGCATCAGTCTACTCTATACTGAAGGTATATATCAGTTTGATGAATCCCAACTAGCATGAAACTAAGGTCCAAAAATCTCTGCCGACTTGCCTCAGTCACAAACTTACATTATTATGACCTACTAAAGTGTAAAGACAATGATGATGGTTTAAAATACGTACATGAACAAGTATCGAAGAAAAAGGGATGTTACAAAACGAATCATCGTTACAGATACTTATCGTTTTAAAACTAACCACATGATAAAATCGTGAAATTCGACTTATACCATTCTATGTTTGTGTTGAAGTCTATATATTTGGGAATAGTTTCTTGCTGTGGCTATTTTATTTACCAAGATTTGTCAGTTTCCCGTACATATATCTCAATAAATATATTTCTTGAATTTCTTCATCCAAACATAACACTGATACATACACAACAATCACCGAAAATTTTCATCCATTATGTCACTAGATCATTAAAGTCATGTCCTATTAATAAGAGTTTTCCGTTGTTAGCGTTCAGGATTATTCATTGCCTTGATACATTTCTAGTCGTACGTCACACGAATCGAGGATGTGCGTTTCATCCTACATTATGACTCGCCAGCATCAGACACTAAGATCAGGTTACATTCAGATGACCATCTACGAATAGAACGTAACTTGCATCCTTGATTCCACTACTGGCTGTATACTAAATATAAAATCATGTTCTGTCTAGAACTTTTTGTTGTTTTATCTTATTAGTATCTTGTGTGTATAAACAGACACACATATGCAGTGATAATATTTTCCTTCTTATCGTATTTTAAAATTTTTCTCATTATTATATGTTACTATTTGATTAGTATAGTATGTACCAACAAAAGAACTTCGTATATCGAGACAGAATCGTCTCACTGATTGTGAAGTAAATCTTTACCCGGCACTCGTTCTTCATATATGCCGTTTCGTATACATTCGAGTATGAAACATGTTATGGTTAGCCATGGAGAGCCTAATAAGGGATATATGGTTTTATTAATTCAGATTCTTGTTTACATCAGTAATTCTTTGGCAGTTAATAGAAAACATTTTGTCTAATTAAATATTGAAAGGTCAGGTTAATTGATCAATAGTGCTGAATGAACTTTTATCCAGAATTCCTGTTTGTGATTTTAAGGCTAATATTTTGAGGGTATGTTTAGCTTGATACTAGTGTTTAAAGGAGATAAAATTTTCTGTACAGTGGTAACATTTCTAATAATGATGTTTGTATCTAGCAGAAGACAAAAGCCTTGTCAGGATACAGGTACATTTAGAAGAGAGCCAACCTATATGACCTCGGGGTCGAGGATTTCATGCCGATTTCCTAAAGCTTATAAGCATGTAGTACACTAAGCCATTGTCCAAGTAAATTTAGTTAAATACTGAAATAAAATAACAGAATTGACAGTTTGCTGACAAGACGGAAGCTCGAGCAACAACCATATAGATATCTGCAGAATGAACTATTATGGCTCACTCACTATGTGAATATATATACTAAGATATTACAGTTAAGCTGTACACAAAATATCCCAATAAGGTAACATGACTATGAGTAAATTTTCAGTTAACAAACGGGTAATCAAGGTGAAGAACGGAAATTAAATGAAAAAGTCGCATGATTATTCAATTTTGTCCACCATAACACAACTTGTATAGCGGACTGTCAGAGTTATTAAATATAGTACAAATTACTTGAAAGGTTCTTTTAGCTTCAGTGAGTAACATCTGTAGCTGGATCAGTTTTTCAGACTAACGATCATTTAAACAATGACTATTTGTTTAATACAGCATAATAAAAGCAGCAATGAATTAATAAATTTGAAATAATCTAGTACGTATGACTTTAGACCCAAAATACAATTTCAAAAATTCAGAATCTGTACACAATTTTATTCACAAAACTATCCTATAAGTGATATATCGTCCGGCTGTTTCTGATGGCCGAGTAATTCGTACAACTTGACCTCTTCTTAGACCATAATATCGAGCAACAGGATCGCTAGCTTGCATTTTGGGAAGCTGATTTTCCTTTAACCTACTAAGTTCTCATTGAATTATAAAAAGTACTAAATTACTATCGTTCGAGCAATTCTTTCTTTTCTTCCTGTGTGAGAACGTTGTGTTGCGGAACCAACTGATGTTCCGTTATATTGACCATTAGTTCATTTTCAAAGAAACACTCCAAAGTGTATTTACACGAAAGTTCCGCGATAGCCTACATATGTATAAATAAACTTAGTAGAATAGAGAACAAACTGTCTTTGCAGAAGGTGTGAGACCCTTTTCTTGAAGGACCAAAATTGCTCTGTAAGTACTATCTTGTTGCATTTGATTCAAATATGCCCGGACAGTTTTCATGTTAACTTTTTCTTCTTCTGGAAAGAACACATATAACATATCAGCAGGATCTTCTTCATGGTTAACAACCATGAGAAGATCCTTTCTCGTTGGTGGATCTCCGACTGTTGCTTTGAAATCTTCGAGTGATTGCTCTAATTCTTTAGGCATTACTAGATAACCCCTATCTTTGCACATCTAAGTGAAGATTGATCAGAACGCCTGACCGGTAAAATTACCTTGAGAATGGTTTTACGAATCCTCCATAATTTGTAGGTTTCTGAGTCGTCCATCATGTCGATCTAAGTAAATCAGAAAAACAATTTCAAAAAATGCAAACAACCGTTTAAAACATCATTTCCAATCAAGATAGAGAACTTTCTGTTATTTATCATATAAAATGTGTGGAAATCAAACAATGAAAAGGCAAAAATGTAATGAAGAGAGATAAAGTCACTTAATACGCACGTAAATACTATTTGAGAATAATGGTTTCTACAATACTGTGATAAATTTGATCTCTGAACATTAGGTTTGACGTTAAATAACCATCAGTCAGTCAGTCAGCTACAACGTAGGACCAGGCACATATGTGCATCGGTCCAGGTTGCCATACCGCATCAGCACAACAAGATGAACACCGGATTCATAGCAGTGGTTAGGTCAAAGGTAGTAATATGTAAGAGAAAGATTGCATATGGAGATATAGTACAAGAAGAAAGAATTGGTTCGTAGAAGGAAAGATATGAAGCGATTTTAATCTCTTAGTTTAAGGGAAGACAGGGAGTGTATACACCGACGCCATTGTGATCGATTCTGAGCCATGTCACCAAGAGTCTCCAACCATTGGTTACGATAGTCACGCGGACCCCGACCAAGTAGTCTGCATCTACCAACCATAGAACAAATTGACTAACTTTAGTTTTAATAAAGGTCGTAAAACGAAGGTACATCACGTTAATTCCATTAATTCGCTGAATTCATTGACTACATATCCACTTAAATAGCAATAAGTGAACAAAGAGCATTGAACTGGTAGTTCTATCACCTTCCAAGAGAACCAGCCCCATGAAGAATTGTTTCAAACTGTACAGACTTTCAATTACTCAAGGATTACAGTGTTTTATTTATTGTCAGTAAGTGAGCAATAGTCCATAACAAATGTGGCGACAGTGTGTACTATTACATTATTTGTGATTTCATGAAAAGTATTTGAGTTTTACCGGTAAGAGATGTAGCTGTTATCTATAGCCTAGCCTTTTTGACGTCGGTTACCGTTTTCTTCGTCGCTTAAATTGCAGCAACATATATATGACAAGCTGATCTGCGATTCAATTTATTATATTGTTGTTCTTAGACATTATAAAACATTGCTACTTCTACAGACAGGCATGGATAAACGTGGCACCAATATAAATCGCTTCAAGTTATCACATTACTCCAAAACCAACAAGAAATTAGCAAAGGAGGAACAATGAGAAAAACAAGATCAAAAATAACGAAAAAACGAGAACCCATCACAACTGAATAGGATCAGAAATCATGAGTATGTAATCGAACTAAGTCCCACTGTGGACATATCTCGGTATTTCAGTTGACATCGAATTAACAAAGAAAAACATGGAAAAGAATGAAAGTTGGTCAATTATAAAGTGTGTCGTTTTGGAACATTTCGGCTAGCTACAAACATTAACAACTCTCTTATAAATGTTTTTTCTTTACTTCATTTAGCTTGGTTTGTTCATTTAAGAATTCATTTGGACAAAAGACCACTAAGTTGCATGATGAAAACACATCACTACTGTTAACTTTTTGAAGAGATGCAGTGGGGCGCAAATCTAAGTACTTGCGTCATTTTGTTCATGTCGTGAAAATCCTGGCTGGATACGATCGCATTGAATATTTGAAGTTCAGACTGCTAAGAACACCGATTTCTCCAACTGCAAAGTAAGCCTATTATTCCTATAAATAAGTTCAATCATGGTAGATTTATTATTGTCGCTTAGTACATCAACGAACGCATCTTAGCAGCAAGATTTTAGGTGGGTAAGTCAGGTATGAATTTGTCTTCGGTCTTATAGATTCTCAAAAGTGCACGTAATTTTAAACAAATATGAAACGACCGTATCTACGAATGTAAGACAAATGTCTAAATAGAAAACTCCTGCATTTGATAATGGATCTGGATAGCTTGGTGGCAGAGTATCAAGTTTACAGTTTTATTAGTAAACTGAAGTATTATAAGTATTAGACATAGCTTCATCAGGATATAATGGGCAAATTTGTAAGCTAGATTTATTCAACAGTCGATTTACATCTTAGATGACAATGACAACTAGGCTAATGGATAACAAGTGAAAAACATCTCTTAGACATTTTATCTTACGTCATGAAGCCGGAGCTGGTCTTCAGGTCAGCACTGGGGCTGGCACGAAAAGGAGTCCTCGCAAGTTCCTATTTTGCGACAGTAGGTGCATTCACGTGCTAATTGTCATTGCTGAGTAAGAGTGAGAAAGAACTCGCAAGCGTTAAGGACATCGCAGCACACGGTTACTTTTACGACACGAGATAAAGTTAAACAGCGGTATGATAAAGAGAAGCATTATCTAAATTTCAAAGGAGAAACGTCCTTAGGGCGAGTTCCTCTATATCCTTAGTCGTGAACTGTAATATTTATTTTGACGGTGGTATCTACGCAGCCATCACTGTACATCGCAAAGTTTGAGGTAATCAAGTATAAAACCGAAAGTTAGGACCAAGTGAACATGACAGGATTGAAGCTAATAATGAAATTATAGGAAATACGGCGTTGTTTTTATACAGTCATAGTGTAGTTGATAAACAGTGTCAGACATCACAGAAAAGGAATGTAAAACATGACAATCACAATTACCACAACAACCGCGATTTGCAACAAGGTCAACGGGTCCGTTAAATGGTTTCATTGAGTTAAGAAATAAAAAGCCAATTGACATATATTAATCATTGAAGTTTTTAGTGCCGTGAAGATTCAATCTTGCTTTGAATTTATCAGCAGAAGGTGCTGACATTACATGTTTTCTCAGAGAATCCCCAAAATGAACTCCAGACGCAAACGATTGTATCTCGGTTTCTGAAATTTCTTAGGACGTCCGTTGGGTGACCAGCGCCAGATGGAAGAAAAAGATAGGACATTCATACGAAAATCATCATTCTGTATACGGTAAGCCAGCATTAAATCAACTCGTAACATGTGATATGTTGTCGGAAATAGGTTGAGACGTCTCAATTTTCCTTTTTGAGAGAAAGCACTGAGAGACTACTCACCATTTTGACCCCTCGCCATTGAAATAGTCACAGCATATCCGCTTCATATCTGGAACAGGGAATCGCTACATGAATGCGACCTCACAAAAGTCAGATATAATACCCTAGATATTTATTCGTTCAAGAAATCAAATGGCTTAAGGATAAACCATAAGACCTGGAGCCTTTAGCAGTCTTAACTCAACAGTTACATGTGATTCTGGGGTCGTTACTTATTATGGCTCCTAGATCCTTATAATCCATTAATTTAGATTATACGATTTTACTTATTGTGTGGCTAAATGAATAGTCGCGGTTATTTAATTGCATCACTACACATGCTAGAATTAACTTCTGCTGACCAGCTACACGTCCATTCAACCAGTGGGCTTTGGTTATCCTGTAATATTATCCTATCTGTCTTACAATGCATAGGTCTCCAAATCTTAATGTCATCTAAAAAGTGAGAACAGATGACTTAGTAACGAATGGTCAGTCATTTACATAAAGTAAAAACGAAGAGGTTTGAGGTTTACACCTTGAAGGTTTTCATGTTGATAAGGCACTCTTTACCCATACCCGCTGTCTCTTATCACTGAGAAGGTCTCTCACCATCACTGTTAACCAACACTACTAAAATATCCCACTGGAAGCAGGTTTTAGCACATTATTTCTTGCCATTATCAACGAATATCCTTTTACCAAAAGTGGTGGGATCCATCACTTCTGTGAGCTCACCCCTTGGCATACGAGAACAATGTTTTAGGACTATTTTGCCAATCACTAACCAGTTGTTTTTCGTCTGGAATTCTAACCTTAGGTAAAGACGTTTTGGATGCTTCCCTAATCTTATAATGATTGGATGTGAGGGCTTCACGAGAATGTAGAGTGAGGTAAATTTCATATCATGCAAACATAGTGTATCCCACACTACAATTTTTGTTCGATTAGTGGCTAGATAAATCACTTTACAGAATTATTTTTAATACGGTTTATAGTTTAGCTCGCAAAGTTGCATTATTTTATACCTTTTTATATCGTTCTGCTGTGCAATATGACATGTTGGGAGCTAACTCATGCTATGTTGGATCAGTTAGCGGTATATTGAAGTTCGCCACAGTGATTTGTATTCCACTTTCCTGTTTCTAAGGCTGTTTAACGGTTTTGAAGATGTACTTTGCCAAATTAATTCAGTGGCGCATTTGTATTAAATCAAATCACTCACCATTATAGTCAACCTTTAGCCAATTTTATAAAGTTTAACCATAGCTTGGATTAGTGGGTAAATGATAAGGCTAGATGCGTGTTATGAAGGATGTAATGATGCCAAGTTCTGAGGTATGTTATCGTTCTTCGATGGTTCGTAAGATGATGCACTGTATCACGTTTTTGCATTCTACATGAATATACTAATATTCAATCTAAGTTTTATGGATCTATTTTGAGAGATCACGATAAAATTCCGCTGCTTGTGATTGCATGTGTGTACTCATCAGAAAAGAAGGCTGGTTACACGGTTAAATTTTCACAAATAAGCAGGAGCCACCTGGAGTAGAAACAAAAACTTCTGCCACAGGTTATCTAATGTTTGTGGTTAGTGAGAAGATTGAGGAGTGGACCTTTTTTCCTGTACTAAAGGCATGAAGGTGTCACAGAAATTTGGTGCCTGTCCACAAAATGTTTATAATGGAGAATCCAGAAGCCAGTCAAATTTGAATAAGGAATGAAGAGCTTCGAAGACGTCTGAATGATGGTCGATGTGCCTACAAGTACATAATTTAAACCGATTAGTTGTCGTGAGAATTGGGTAGTACGACATACGAACTAGTATTCTGGAGTAGATGCTTGACTGAGAGCCTTCAGCTGAAGTGTGTCCATTGAAACTAATAAAGCCAGCGCCGATCTCGAAAACTTATCGAACTATTCATTATGGAGATATATTTACCACTCAGGCCTACTCCCTCATAGTGGGATGGCGATAACGCAGCGTCTGGTTATCTTTTACTACCCTGCAAATTGAAGTACATAATAACAGAACAAATGTACAATCAAAGTTTAGATCATAATAATCATCTTCTGTTTTTAGTCTTTTCCGGTCGTTCTGGAGGAGAAAGTAATAAAACTGTAAGTACATGTCAAAATCCACTTGTGCTTAGGCACACAAGTGGATCTCGCAAAAAGTCGACTTGTATGCATAGATAAATTTATATATCAAGCAACATTGAAGAAAGACAAGAAGCTAAAAATTCTGACAGAGATCGTCCTTTGGGGCCGCCTATTATACACCTGCGAAGTTTCATTGCGGTTATTAGCTATCGGAAATCGCACGGCGAATTCCAGGAAACATCAGTTAAAGGGCGTTAGCCTACTGTGATAAGCTTGTAGCCGAGAGTAAGGGATTTGACTGTCAGTAAAGTAGTTTTGCTAAACCACCGGTTTACGGGTAGAAGACGGTCGTGTGATCCTCAGGAGTGCGGTAAGATGGCTGTAAATTTCAGATTTTAACAGAGGTCCATGGTCTGAGCCAATACTAGTTTCAAACTGCTTGATTCGGAGTTTCATGATTATCGAGTATAACTTATACTGAAGATCGGTGCTTTCTTTTTAAAGTCGGGAGTTTTATGAGACAGAGTGCTTGCAACTACAGTGTCCCTGCCATGAATATGTATATCTCGAGTAAAAAGCGAGATGCTGTACAGGTATCGGGACTCTCGAGAGGAGTACGTATCCGAAGTCGGGAGGGAAGGTTAGAGGTTTGGTGTTTGTGAGCCGTGAATTATCGACCTTATACTGGGCCTTGAAGGTGCCGCACGGCGCAACGCGTAGCCAGGAGTTCCATACCGAAATTATGATGCCTCAATTCAATGTATTGCCACTATTTCAAAAAATGCCAACGCTCGCCAAGTTTCGTCTTCTCTCCGTTGTAAGACTTTCCAGAGTATTGCGTTGGATGCGTCTATGGAGATACTAATAGGCACTGTGGTGTCGAGGTATCCTAGCATAGTTGGCTTGGCAAGATTGCCTTTCACTATGAAAAATGCTACCTTCTCTTTGTCGTCCTGGTAGGGGATTTTTGCATTTTCAAGCAGTTTGGGTGTTAATGATTCCATGACGGACGCGTGATTTGACCTGAATCGTCGGTAAAACGTACCAGTTACATGAATGTGGTGGGTCCTTGGTATTGCAGAATGACCACCGCTTTACTTTTTAGAGGGTCAGTGCCTCGATCGTCGATGGTACGACAGACAACGTTGAGGAACTCTGTTTCAATATGATATTTTCGAATGTTTACGGAGGTGATATGTTTCATAGTCATTGGAGAGAACGGTTTTCATGCTTTCTTGATAACGTACATTAACGTCCTTATATAGCCATAACTAAACATTGTGATGCTACTCAGTTTTCTAAAGGCTCAGATTGTATTGGTCGAGTAAGGAATCAGAAAAGAGACCCAGATACTTGTTTTTGTACTAAAAATGAATCAAAGATGCTTCATGGTTGCGTGACAGTAGTGAACAGTAGTGGTCAGTAACTTCCAAAAATTGATTCTCGGACCAAATATGACATTTTTATATACATTTGCGATGTCCTGAGTGTCGATTATGTTAATAGTGATTAAAATCGCGATTAAATTAAATTATCCACAAGAGGGACTAAGTTATTCTCATGGTATTTTTTGTTGATACATAACTGAGTTGCGATTGGTAAAACCATATATTTGGAATGATAACTCTACTGTAGTGACGGCGATAAAAAGCACCTTTAGTTGTAGTTTCCGACGGAAGACAACTTCGTATCACTTTGCATGTTATTTCCTATGAATTACTGGGGAATATGGATTATTTTGTAATATGGTTAGTGACTCGTTTGTATGCACTGAAAGTGTTAAGTTTAGTCTATGAATCTAGTTTACACAGAGAAATTGTAGTATCACGCTACGACAAGACGATAGACAATTTTTCAACCGTGAATCTTCAATAGGATGCAGTGAAATGATATGATCGGAATAATAAGAATACTCCATATGAACGTGAAGACGCCACAGGTATTTGGAGTTTGACACGTAATATAAATCGTACCCACCAAGGGAAATCAAAAGACAGAAGCGAGGAGGCTCGAAGATATATTTGATAGGCTATCAGTATGTCGTGTATCATCTGATCTAATCTAGCTAGCGATTGCAGAGGATGTTGAACACGGCGTCCCCACTCGTGATCTGGTGCGGATGCATGACCGAGCGCCTTCAGCTATGTGAGTCCATTAAAACGAATGTGGTCAGCATCAATGTCGAAAACTTACAGAGCTATTTATTTTGGGGATTTATTTATCTCTACAATGGGAGAAACGTTATGCACCAAGCTGTTGGGTATTTGTTGATTTAGGGTTATCATGAACTCGTTTTCTGTTGACTTGGTAGATTGAGCGGAACCTGATTCGTGCACGCACGTAAACTTTGTAAAAAGAGCTGGAGTATTCCAGGACATTCTTGTATGATGGGGTGATTTTAAGAGTACTGCTGTATTTCCTACAGTTCCATGAGAACCCAGTATTAATCTAGAGGAGCCATGACAAAGAGTTTATGATTTCTTGTGTTACATTTAAGGATTTCGAGTGGTAGCATAAGATTCGTTTTTTGTATGCCCACATGC